AACCCCCTTCCCCTCCCCCTTTTCTGATGAAGGGTCTAGGCCCGAAACGTCAGCCTCTCTGCTCCTATGATGCTGCTTGGCATGCTGTGTTCATCCAGCCCTGCACCTTGTTGTCTCATCTATTTGAAGTGGCCCTATTTTAATACACATCTCCTATCTTGCTCACAAATGTCTATTCCCTTTATGTTGGTAGATATATTCTCAAAATAAGTATAAGGTATACAGGTGTTCTTACTTTCTGTTCTAAACATTATGACAAAACAAATGGAATGTGGAGAGCAGCTAAAGTAGCAATTCAGGTAATTCAACCACACAATGTGTGGCATCAAGTGACTACCGGCCACATTTTTCTTTAGATTTGTAGCAGACTAGTAATTGACTATCAAATGGATTATGATATAAACAGCACTTTCCTTGCTATTATCCTGGAATTTGAATATTTTTACAGGCAAATGATGCTGACTCAGAAATTTGGGGAGATGTGAAGTATTCTATATATGGAACAGGAGCTGATCTGTAAGTAATGTTTTTGATTTGCTTTTCATTTCACAGAAAAAAGGTGGAGGGATAGGTAGCACAATTCTTATGATTTGAAATAAAATCCAATTAAACAAAGGTAAAATTGCATGGATTTTGATTCGATTTCAGCAGCTCTTCCCTTGACAGCTACACTGCCTTCCTGAATAAGTATCTGGGACGTCTGTTTACTTCATTTGTTTCCAAATCTAATGTAAACTGCATGGAAATGCATCACTCTTCTATTCAACATCGTGATTGGGACAGTAATGTGCCTCGACATACGCACCAACAACTGAAGATTTACCAGATCTTCCTGTGAAGAAAATCCTCCTTTTAAATTTCGTAGTATGATTCTTTTTCCAGTCTGTCAACCTCGCTAGAAAAACAATGCATATTCTCTAACTCAACAAGAGAAGCTGTCTTATGGAAAATGAAATTATAAAATGCCTTCTGGGCCAGAATCACTGTAGTGGGAGTGGATATTACTTGTGGAGAATCAGTTATAGGAGAAAAAAATTGGGGTGGAACTGAAATCCAGCATATTTCCATTCTGTGGAGGTGCTGGTGTTGGACTGGGGTGGACAAGGTCAGAAATCACATGACACCAGATTATAGTCCAACAGGTTTATTTGAAAATACACGCTTTTGGAGCCTCACTCCTTCTTTAGGTGTTAGTGAGAGAGGTGGTATCAGTAAAAGATCAAAGGGACACACCACTGATGAGGATATACTAAATAAACCTAAGATGCTGTTAAATCTTTAATGAGTTAGAAGTTTTCAATTGATTAATGTGTATATGTAAATCCCCAAATTCCTTTCAGGTCACTCTCCTGAGAGAACTAAAGGTTTTATCAGTGTAAAGAAGGTTGACATTTTAGGTCAGACAATGCATGTTTGGTATGAGGCCTTGTTTAGAATCTGTTTGCGTTTTGGTTTGGAGACGGACTGGTTTTATTTCTAAAGTGGGAATTTATAAAACACCACATTGATTGTCCATAAATTGTGTGCTTTTTGAACAAAATAGAATGTATCTGCGAATACAAATTCACACCATAAATTCACGTGTCTGTGTGTGTGTGTGTGTGTGTATGCGTGTGAGAGAGAGACTGTGTGTATGAGAGAAGATCTGTGTGAGAGACAGTGTCTGTGTGCATGTGCGTGAGAGAGAGAATTTGCTTGTGTATGTGAGTGTATGTATGTGTGTGTGAGAGTGTATAGTGTGGTGGGGTCACCTGTAGTGTGACAATAACCCAAAGACCCGGTTGAAATCATCCTCATGGGGACCGAACTTGGCTATCAGCCTTTGCTCAGCGCCTCTGCGTTATTGAGTATCCCGAAGTCCACCTTGGGGGACGTTTACCTGAAGATCCAAGGCCGATTGTCCCTGGAAAGATACACATTACAGTCTTTCTATAAGAGCTTCCATGTGGTCTGACCGGCTGCCACCAGTACCCAACCAGTGGCCATCTTTGCTCCAGGCCCAATGGCCAACCCCGCTCTGGGCCCACTGACCGTCCTCTCTTTGCTCCGGGCACGCTGACCGTCCCCGCACTGCTCCGGGCTCGCTGACCGTCCCCACTCCGCTCCGGGCACGCTGACCTTCCCTACTCCGCTCCGGGCCTGCTGACCATCCCCACTTTGCTCCGGGCCTGCTGACCATTCCCTCTTCGCTCCGGGCCCGCTGACTGTCCCCGCTCCACTCTGGGCCCGCTGACCTGTCCTGCCCTGCTCCGGGCCCGCTGACCGTCCCCGCTCTGCTACGGGCCCACTGGCCGTCCCTGCCCTGCTCCGGGCTCGCTGGCCATCCTTGCCCTGCTCTGGGCCCGCTGACTGTCCCCGCCTTGCTCCAGGCCTGCTGGCCATCCCCGCCCTGCTCCAGGCCTGCTGACCATCCCCGCCCTGCTCCAGGCCTGCTGACCGTCCCTGGTCTGCTCCGGGCCCGCTGACCATCCCCACTACGCTCCAGGCCAGCTGGCTGTTCCCACTCTGCTCTAGGCATGTTGGCCACCCTTGCTTCTCTCCAGGCTGCTGGCAGAAGAAGAAAAGTCAGAATGGAGAAAAAAAGAATGAGAGAGAAAAAAAAGAGGAGAAAAAAGGTAAAGGAATGGATGGAGCAGACGAACTCTGGCTGGAGCATTCTACTCCATCGCCAACATGAACCACAATATTGTGGTTGTAGTGTCAATTGTTGCTGTCCCATTTCTCTGCCTCGGAAAAGAGCAACCTGCATATTAATGAGGCTAGATTAGGTAATAACAAAATGTTATTGCCAGCAAATAGGCCCCTTGCCACTCAATGGTGAGATTCTCATCTGGCTGATTAAACCTAATCTGCTAAATCAGACTTTTCCTTTTGATGTCAAGAATCTCAATTTTTCATTCTTGGTGTAATTTCCCAACTGTCTCACTGTTGACCATGTCATTCAGAGGCTGAGAGAATATACATGTTAATTTCATACATATTAATCCATACATGTTAATTTCAAAATCAGGTTAATTTGTAACTTCGTAAATCTGTTTCTCCAGTGGCATTCATCCACATTACTGTGGTTTGTATGATCTTTCTTCCTATTTACATAAACTGCCCAAAAGCAGGTCCTTGTTTCATTATCTGCTGATATTACATTCTGAGCTATTTTACTTGGCAGTATTGTTGTTAGCGGTGGTTTGTCATTACCTTCTACTGTTAGAGGCAGGCGTGCAGAGGAAGTCTGGAACAGGAATCAAACCTGTGCTGTTAGCAGTAATCCTGAAGTGCATGTGAGCTAACTATTCGACCCTCAGTTTGTACTACGTTAGCCCACATGGAAAAATGTTTCAAGATTGCTGTATAATTTCAAAAAGTTTTAATGTTGAGACTTAAAACAATGGGTTAAACTGCATTTCCCTAACTGAAAAACCATGCTGAAAATAGTATTGATGTTGCCTTATGTGTTCTAAAATTTAAATAATACAATATTCATATATAAAATTCTACAGCACAAAAAGTACCTGCTCATTTTATCTGAATTATCATATTTTCATACAGACATACCCCATATTGTACCATACCATGTTACAATAATTAAGCATTCTGCAGAGATAGTTTCCTCATCAGCCTATTCAAAGATGTTATTACACACCTTTGGAGCAGGTGGAACTTGAACCTAGGCCTCCTGGCTTAGAGGTAGGGACACTACTAGTGTGCTACATGAGCCGCAAGTACTTTACCTATAAAATTGTCACAGATTCTTCTCACACAGTTGTATTGTGTACCATATCAAATAGAATGAATTGACAGCTTAGAGTCAATCAACTCAAACTAATAGAGAACTGTCAGGTTTTCATTGCTCAGTTAATTGTTTCTGTGAATGTGCGATTGGCCAACTCATTGCAGCACATTTTCTGAAGTATTTTTGAAGCTTCTATTTGTGTAAGGTCTCTTTAAGGACCCAGTATTTACCTTGGTTAGTGCACTGCTGACACCACTGTAAGATCCCATGAGATGACTGACATGAAAAAATAGAGATGGTGTCAATGTCTTGTACTGTCACTGCATGCTCCCTAAGGAAAGTGTTACACTCCCTGATCCAAATATTCATCAAACTCATAAAAGTTTTGAGCATTCAGACCCTGAATCTATAAAGATCTTTGCTAATCTACAAATTAATTAAATTGTCCTCTTCTTTCCTCACTGGTTCCTCTGCTTCACATAATTATCCAGTTTCCCTTAAAAAATGCTGTGCTCTCAACCACCCCTTGCAGCAAAGCATTCCATACTCCAACAGCTGTTTGTATGAAAACATTTCTTTAAACACTCCTTTTATTCTTATTGTACAAATTTTAAATCAAACAGTAAATTACAAAACATCAACTTTTGAATTGATATTTGAACCTCAACAACTTACATTTATGTATTACATTTAAAGTAATAAAAAGTCCCAGGTCACTTCACAGCAGCATTTTAAAACAAAATAATGTCATGATGTTACAAAAATTCAGACAAAAGGATAAATTTTAAAGAATGTCTTATATAAGGAGAGAGAGAAAGATATGGAGAGGTGTGGTGAGGGTATGCCAAAGTTTAGGCAGCTGTTAGCACAGCCACCAATGATGGATCAATTAAAATTGAAGATGCACAAGAAGCCAAAATTAGAGGGCTAGAATATCTAAGCGGGTTGTGAGACTGGAGGAGCTTACAGAGATAGAGAGGTGTGAGGCCATAGAAGGATTTGAAAATGCAAATGAGAATTTTAAAATCACATAGGCCAGTGAACCCAAGAATTACAGGGAAGTGGAACCCTTGTGAGTTAAGACAACAGACAATGTAGTTTTGGATGACGCCAAGTTTACTAAAGTAGAATATGAGAGACCAGCCAGCAAAACGCTGGAATATTTGAGCCCAAAAGGTAATGAAGTCAAGAGCAAAGGTTTCAGTATCAGATGAGCAGAGACAAGTAATTTCAATGATGTTACTGAATCGGAAATAACTGGTCCTAGAGATTAATGTATATAAATATAAGGTTAAAAGTTTATCTCAGGATCAAATGTGACACCAAGATTGTAAACAGCCTGGCTTAATCTCAAACTGTTATCAGGGACAAGGACAGAGTTAGTAACTAGGGAATGGAGTAGGGACCAAAAACAATGTCCCGATATTTATTTGAAGGAAACGTCGGCTGACCCAGCAGTTGGATAAACAGTCTGATGATTTAACGGTGGGAGGAGAAGTTGAGAGAGGTGAGGTAGAGCTTAGGGATCATCAATGCATGTGTGAAAAATAACATTGTGGCTTTGGATGATGTTACTAAGGGGTGGTACCTAAATGAGAAATAAATGGGGGCCAAGGATATAAGAGGAGATGGTATATTGCTTGTAAGAAACTTCTGCTTTCATAAGAACAACATAACAAAAAGGCTGCTCAGCATATTTTATTGTTGGTGTGTGGTTTTAAATAGGGCTCTTATTTTACTGAGATAACAAGGTGTACAGCTGGATGAACACAGCAGACCAAGCAGGCTGCTGTGTTCATCCAGCTCTACACCTTGTTATCTCAGATTCTCCAGCATCGGCAGTTCCCACTATCTGTTATTTTACTGAATTCTTATTTTCCAGATTTCTGATTCACCCATCTACAGGGATTATATACACTCAGCCCTGGGCTGTGCTGGATGCTGAGGTACAATCTAGATACAATTTTAACGTCAAAGCGGCTGATGTGGAAGGAAAGCATAGCTTGGCTGAGGTCTTTGTAACAGTCCTAGATGTCAATGATCACTACCCAGAATTTAATGAGGATATTTTGGAGAAGGTCATGATAATTGGATTGCCTGTGAAAGTTGAGGTAAGAAACAGTGCATAAAGAATGTAATAGATTACTGCCTCCAAATGTACAAGATGTGAATAAGACCAGTGTTCACAGAGATTGTGTTCTCTCAATTGAAATTTCAGCTTAAAATATTTGTCAGACATCAATACTGTTACAGAACCATGGACTCTGGGCATGTGGTCCTACCAGGGTGATTTTAACATCAACCATTACACAGGGCTCAAGCACAATGAGGAAAGATTTGAAGGGATTCACAAACTTCTATCTCCCACCTTCTGTGGCCAATACATAGGCAGATATCCAGGAACATAGGAGCAAACGACCTATCTGCTACTCCACAGTTCACGGTGCAACAGTAATCTATGCAATCATCTTTAAAAGTACTTTATCTACTGTTAACTATAGCAGCTGCAAATAGTTTTGAGAATACAGCTGAACAGGCCAGAAGATCGATATTGTTGGTGTTGGTGACAAAAATAGAAATTGCTGGTAGCAGGTCTGGTAGCATCTATGGAGAGAAATCAGAGTTAACATTTCAGGTCAAATGATCCTTCCTCAGAACTGCTGGTGTTGGTGTTGGCAATGACTAATGATGTTGCACTCTCTGAGAGATTAGATGGTGCCAGGACGGACAGGTGGGGTGGCACAGTGGCTCAGTAGTTTTCAGTGTGGGTTTCCTCCAGGTACTACAGTTTCCTCCCATAATCTAAAGATGTGCAAGTCATGTGAATTGGCCAATAAATTGCCCCTAGTGTCCAGAGATGTTCAGACGGGGTTGATTAGCCATGGGAAAGCCAGGGTTACATGGATAGGGTAGGGGTGGGATACTGATCGGAGGGTCAGTGTGGACTTGATGGGCTGAATGTCCTGCCTTCACACTGTAAGGATTCAATGATTCTAAATGATAATGAGGGAGAATTTTCAGATGCTGAGAAAGAGAAGAGTTTTAAGGAGACTTTGAAAACAGAAGGAAGCAGTAAGATGGAAACATTTAGAAAGAGGCAGAGGAGTGAAAACGCATGGTAGCCAAACATCCAGGCCACGAAGAATAGAGAGAGAGCAAATATTATAGAGCACACTTGAATGAACATAAGATACAACATTGGATTTGGAGAAGACTGCAGAAGTATTATGAAGTAAGCCTATAAAGTCATTTGGAAACAAAATCAGATTTAATAATTGATGTGCTGGTGGATGCCCAATCAAAGGAGGGTAATCATGACAGGATCAATAGTGTTTGGGGTTTAGGATGGAACAGAATATGAGTGGCTGTCCTCTTAGTGATTTAGTGAGCATGCTAGCGAAATCAACCTTCTGGTTTGTAAAAATGGATGAGGGTTTCAGGGAAGGCACGTTGAACACAGATCACAAAAACTGCAAAACTGAAAGGATGTGACAGTGAAGTGTTTAAAGCACTTTTCAGTCGTATCTCCATCAAACAAAGATCTCCTGAGCACAGTCCTAATTATTTACAAGTTGCAAAGGTGAAACAAAAAACAACGCAATGATGCTCTCCAATAGGCTTCAGAACTAATTGCTAGATGTTAGCTCTAGCAGGTAGGAGTACAGATCCCTGTTTTTTGAATCCCTCTAAAATTCCAGATAGCAATAAAGGGGGGAAATATTTTGCCCAACTTCACAACTGAAAAAGATTTGAAGTTCAGTTCTGTCACAAGTGGCGCTGTTGCCAAAGTCTTGCAATTCATTCGAAATTTTGAAATGATCTCTTGAACTGTGTCATATATCTCAAATTTTTACTGTAGGCCAAAGATGAAGATGCAGAAGAACCAAATAATATTGTAGATTACTCAATAACGCAAGCAGATCCTGCAAATGTCTTTGACATTGATCAAGCCACAGGGGAAATTGTTCTGAAGTCCTATATTAAATCTCTGGAGGTCATTCACAACATCACCAGAAACAAAGACTGTCAGTGGTCACTAGTGGTGCAAGCTAAGGACAGAGGCTCCCCTTCGTTCAGCACAACAGCGGTTGTGAGGATCGACATTACAGAGGAGGTAAGTATATGTTCTCTGAATGTGTACATGGAAACTATATAAAAACTATACTATAAAAGTAAGGTGCTGCAAGCTGACAGATTTGAATGTTTCGCATAAGTGGGAATCAGTAATTCAAAGTAACAAGACATCTCGATCATCTTTTCAATCTAATGATCAGTCATCAATGCTCTCAGAACAGTTATGGCATGGGACTCATGTGGCAGTTATAACACTGATTTAAGGGCACCTTCTTTTGTAATGGGTGCTCATTCATGGTCTCGATGTCGAAGAGTTAGGTAGAAAGAGCAAGGAAGTTTTATTTCCTCCTCGCAAGTACCAATGAAAGGTTGGTCTTAGACTGAGATTATTCAGACAAGTTGAGACTTATTGACAAAGCCACTGTTTTTCTCTTCAAAGTCCAAATAGAAACAGTTCTAGAAAAAGGTGTCAGTGCTAATCTAGTCTCCTAATTCACAGAATTATAAAATACTGAGTTATGTTCAGGCTAAAGGTACATTGGTGTAAGATGTACCATCCAATCACAGCAATATATGGTTCCACCACTTAGTAATTTCTTGTAAAGAGCTTTGAGATGTCTAGTAATCACGGAAGGCACTATATAAATGCAAGTCTTTGTTTTTGTTAATTGTATGTAACAAGCAGTCGTGATTTACATTCAATTCATAACATACAGCAGTTTAAAAAAACAAAAATGATCATTATAGCATTCAAGAAACATTAATGAGATGAAATTTATGCCTTTATAGTTGGAATATGATCTGCTATGAAGGCACTTTATAAACTATATGCTTTAGTGTTTGAAATTAGTTGTAAATTCTCCACAAAAGCCTGTTTTCCTTCTTGTGCACTTGTCAGTAAATGGAAGGCAAATCTGGTGTAGCATGCAGATAGACAGAAATCCCTAGGCTCAGGCCTGACTGGATGAATATTGAAACCAGGCAGCAACCTTTTAAACTAATTTTAAATCTCGTATCTTAACTTCATTTGCTTAAAATTTGTGTAAGGTGGAAACCGAAGAGAGAACGAAAGCATTTCTTAACTTTTTTTTTAATGGCACTCTTGCTGATTCTATTTCGCTGCTCTAAGGATCTCCAGATTGCATTAAAACTTAAGGGTCAGAATGGTTTAACAGCTGAACATTCTACAGTTGTACAAGCTGATTTGGTACACAAGTTTGACAAAACACTCTGATCTTTGACACTGAAACCCAATGTTTTAACATTTTCAGATTAAATCAAGGCTAAACTCTTATATTTTGGGCCTAAGGAACCAGCCATGGCGAATATTTAGGATTTGTTTGAGCATGGTCACCTTCATCGTTTCTCTAACAGTAATTATATCTGGTCTGATGTTCTGGAAAACTGTGAAAAGATCCAGAATACATCCACGCAGCAAGCTCCGAAAGATTGTCAAGAGACCTACACAAAGAAAAGTGGCTGATTAGGGCACTTTTTTTGATGGTGCAGGACTGTACTTGCACATGCCCACAATATGTCAGAGGAGACACAAACAAAATTTTTATTTCCTCTTCCAATACTGTTCAGGTCTGTAAAAGAGTACGGAAGTGATAAATGGAAATGTGATGGACATTGCTTTCTATGCAGTGATCTTTTGCAAGAGTACAAAAGCCAGTTGAAAGTATTCATATTTACCGGATGGGATGTTACAAATTTGCATTGTGATGACCACTGTCCATATATCCTGCACTAGGTATATAACAGCAGACATGGCGGAAATCTGCAAGGATCCTCCAAATGCTATGCAGCAACCTTCTTACTATGCACCATGGTTTCCCTGTGTGGAAAGCTTTTAATCCTGTTCATCATTCAGTTTGAGACAGGTGTCATCTCACAGCACGAATCCTCCAGGACCAATGGCACATGTATTTTGCAAGTGACTTAAAGCTGCCTTTGGTTAGAAGCCCAGTCACAGGTTGGAGCAGCTGGAGTGTCTGTGAAAGGAAAGGACTTAAAATTAGGAAGGAAGAAATTATTTTTAAAATACACTAAAAAAGATAAATGAATCTACATTACATGCTAGCAGAAACACTTGTGGCTGATTCTAGTCGAGAACTGGAGACAAATGTCATTCCTCAACTATTGAATTTGGCATCACACCTTAGCCTGATTAGTAACATATTGATGAGTACGATTAATGCTGCTCCATGGAAGCAAGAACAAGTGAGGTTTTTGTACACTTGAGAAAATGATGTACAAAGCAGAATATTGAATAAATAGTACATATGTTTTGCACAAATGAAGAACCTAGTCCTAGGGACTAAATCACTTGTTTTCTTTGTACTCTTTTACAGACTTCAGGCAAAGGGCACATGGCAGACTTTTTGTTGCAATCTAAAGATAATCCTATGAAAATCCTAGGAGTGCTAGCTGGCATAGTTTGTTTTTTTGTGATGTTTACAATCTTAATTTCGACAATCATGTTTTGGCGAAACAAGAAGTCCAATAGAGTTGGCCCGGTGAGGCGTATCATAAAGAAAAGGCCATACCATAGATCAAAGACTCGCAGATCTAAATGGTTCCAAAATAAGAAATCAGGCAAAAGAAACATTGGTTTCACGGTCTCTGAAGCCAACCACAATTTGCAAGATGGGAGCGCTCGATGTAACTGCCCACCACTTCCTTTGCCATGTGCACCTTTGCTTCCTCCTCAACCTTTTATGCTCCCGACCAGTCTCAACAAGCCAGACTGGGTACTGCCTACGGTGTCGGGATCGCTCAGCTCCAAGGTGTCCCATATCCCTCAACAGTCAAAATGCAAGGTATCGAACATCAACAGTGCCCTGGTATCAGAGCTTAAACAGCGATTCGAACAGAGAAAGAATGAAGATGCTTCTAAGCTATATTTATGAAATATTTGTACTATTATAAAGCAAGTTACTTAAAATAATGTGATTGAAATGCTACATGGGAAGGTTTCTAATCATGTTAGAAACGTTTATTTTCTACATTGTACAAAGTTTAAAAGTTCTACAGGTTATGAAGGCATAAAATTTGTATTATCATACATATCTGCATGCATGTAAATCTATCTATAAGGTAATACGTTCTATTCTCCATCCATACTGAAACATATTACTGCAGTCTCCTGCAGAATAGGGAATTCAATTTTTCAAAAGTGACGAATGTTCCAGACGCTGCCCCAATGGATGCATAATTCTTGAGTAAGGTCAGAAGTCACGCAACACCAGGTTATAGTCCAACAGGTTTATTTGAAAACACAAGCTTTTGGAGGGTAGCCCCTTCATCAGGTGAAGTGAGAAAGAAGCACAGAATTTAAGAACACAGAATTTAAAAGTAAAAGATCAAAGGGTCACACAACTGATGAGGATGTATTAAACAAACATAAGATGCTGTTAAATCTTTTGTCAGTTAGAAGGTTTTAATTGATTAATATGTATATGTAAATACCTGAATTTCTTTCAGGTCACTGACCTGAGAGAACTAAAGGTTTTATCAGTGTAAATAAAAGATGACATTTTAGGTCAGACAATGCATGTTTGATATGAGGCCTTGTTTAGAATCTGTTTCTGTTTTGATTTAGAGTCAGACTGGTTTTATTTCTAAAGTAGGAATTTATAAAATGCCACATTGACTGACTCTATAAATTGTGTGCTTTTTGAACAAAATACAATGTATCTGCAAATACAAATTCACCCCATAGATTTATATGTATATGCATGTGTATGTGTGTGTGTGTGTGTGTGTGTGTGTGTGTGGGAGGTGGGTGGTAGACAATGTGTGTGTGCGAGGGAGAGAGAGTGTGAGTGAGCATGCGTGTGAATGGGGGGGAAGAAAGTGTGTGTGTGTGTGTATGTGTGTGAATGTGTATGTGTGTGGGGGGTGTGGAGAGAAAGAGAGAAAGAGTGTATGTGTGTGAGAGAGAGGACGTGTGTGTGTATGTGTGCGTAAGGAAGAGGGTGGGGAGAGAGAGAGAAAGAGTGTGTGTGTGTGAGGGAGAGAACATGTGTGTGTGTGTGTGTGTGTGTGTGTGTGTGTGTGTGTGTGTGTGTGTGTGTGTGTGTGTGTGGTGGGGGGGGCGGGGTGGTGGGGGGGGAAGAGAGAGAGAGAAAGAGTGTGTGTGTGAGAGTATGTTTGTGTGAGAGAGTATGTGTGTATGTATGCATGTGCATGAGAGAGTATAGTGTGGTGGGGTCGCCTGTAGTGTGACATGAACCCAAGATCCCTTTTATCTCATGGGTATCAAACTTGGCTATGAACCTCTGCTTGGCAACTCTGCGTTGCTGTGTATCCTGAAGTCTGCCTTGGAGGATGTTTACCCAAAGACCCAAGGCCGAATGTCCTTGACCACTGAAATGTTTCCCCACTGGGAGGGAACATCCCTGTCTGGCGATTGTTGTGCGGTGTCCATTCATCCATTGTTGTAGCATCTTCGCCAATATACAATGCCTTGGGGCATCCTTACCTGCAGCGTATGAGATAGACAATGTTGGCTGAATCACATGAGTAGCTGCTGTGCACGTGGTGGGTGGTGTTCCCACGTGTGACGGTAGGGTCCATGTCGAAGATCTGACATGTCTCGCAGAGGTTGCCATGGCAGGGTTGTGTGGTGTTGTGGTCAAGGTTGACCTGAATGCTGGATAGTTTGCTAAAACAATGGTCTGTTTAAGGTTTGGCAATTATTTGAAGGCAAGAAGTGGAGGCATGAGGAAGATTTTGGCGAGGTGCTCATCATCGTTGACAATGTGTTGAAGGCTGCGAAGAACATGGTGTTGTGTGATTTCTGACCTTGTCCACCCCAGTCCAACATCGGCGCCTCCACATCATGGTTATTGAGTAGTGAGAGATTGGGTGTCTGAGAGAGGAGAGTGGCAAAGGAAGCAGAGGGAAGGAAATGTTGGCAAGACGAGAATAGTCAGTAAAGTGAAACTCAGTCAGAGGTGAGTGAGTGCACTTCCCAACTATATCACAGTTACATGGATATTAGATAAACCCCTTCTTTTAATTCACAGATATTGATCTGTATTTCCAATCTTCTTCATGAATGGATACAGTAATTTTCTACTGCAGTAATTTTTCATTACTCCGTGCATTCAGATCTAACCCTGACTTTGTTATTAAGCCTGCCAATAAGGGTGGTGCTGTTGTAGTCTGGCGTACTGACCTCTAACTTGCAGAGGCTGAGCGCCAACTCTCAGATACCTCCTCCTACCTTACACTGGACCATGAACCCACCATGACACATCAGGCCATTGTATATATTATGGTAACTGATCTCATTTCATCCGGTGGTCTCACCCCTTCTGCTTCCGAGCTGATAGTCCCCCAGACCCACACAGCTCACTTCTATCTCCTCCCTAAAATCCAGAAACAGGACTGTCTGGGCAGGCCATTGTTCCAGCCTGCTGTAGCCCCACAGAACTCATCTCTTCCTACCTTGACTCAGTCTTCCCTCCGCTGGCCCACTCCCTGCCCACATACATCCATGATTCCTCTGATGCCCTACACCGGTTTCAAAGCTTCCAGTTTGCGTGTTCCAGCTGCCTCCTCTTTACCATGGACATGCAATCCCTTTACGCGTCCATTGTCCACCAGGAGGGTCTTAGGGCTCTCCGCTTCTTCTTGGAGCAAAGACCTGAACCCTCCCCATCCACCACCACCCTCCTCCGCTTGGCCGAGCTTGTCTTCACCCTCAACAATTTCTCGTTTAACTCCTCTCATTTTCTTCAGGTAAGTGGGGTGGCCATGGGCCCCAGTTATGCCTGTCTCTTCGTGGGAAACATGGAACATTCCTTGTTCCAGTCCTATTCCGGCCGCCACCCACAACTCTTTCTCCGATACATCGATGATATCGTCGGTGCTACTTCTCTCTCACGTCTGGAATTGGAAAACTTCATCAATTTTGCCTTCAATTTCCACTCTGCCCTCACTTTCACCTGGTCTATCTCTGACTCCTCCCTTCTCTTCCTCGACATTTCTGTTTCCATTTCTGGGGATAGACTGTCCTTACCTACCATCCCACCAACATCTGTATCCAGAAGATCATCAGACGCCATTTCCGCCACCTCCAGCAAGATGCTACCACCAGACATATATTCCCCTCCGCTCCCTTGTCGGTCTTCCACAGGGACTGTTCCCTCTGGGATACCCTGGTCCACACTTCCTTCACCCCGAACACCTCCCCACAGCCCTATGGCACCTTCCCCTGTAACCGGTGAAGGTGCAACACCTGCCCATTTACCCCCTCCCTCCCCAGTATCCAAGGGCTTAAACATACCTCCCAGGTGAAGCAACACTTCACCTGCACTTCCCAGAATCTAGTCTACTGCATTCGCTGCTCACAATGTAGTCTCCTCTACATTGGGGAAACGAAGCATAGCCTAGGTGACTGCTTCGCAGAACATCTAAGTTCTGTTCGCAAGAAAGACCCTGAACTACCTGTTGCCTGCCACTTCAATGCACCACCCTGTTCCCTGGCCAACATCTCAGTCTCTGGCTTGCTGCAGTGTTCCAGCGAAGCTCAATGAAAGCTGGAGGAACAACACCTCATTTTCCGCTTGGGGACTCTGCAGCCCTCCAGACTCAATATTAAGTTCAATAATCTTAGGCCAAAACTCTCCCATGTCCCAGCCCCCTACCCCACACACCAGTCCTTGTTACCACATAGCCTGCCATCACACACCATCTGTTGTTAGTCACTAATAGTGCCCATTAACAACTATTCACCCTCCCAGCCTGATCGTTATCAACTCTTTGCCTGTCTAACTGTTCTTCTCCTCTTTAGGCTCTAGCCTTTCGATTACTCCCCACCCCATTCCCCTCCCCTTTTCTCTGCATATAAACTGACATTTTCCCAGCCACTATCAGTTCTGAGGAGGGGTCACCGGACCCGAAACATTAACTCTGTTTTTTCCTTCACAGATGCAGCAACTTTGTTTTTATGCCAGTAATTTTCAAACATTGGTTTAGTACATCAAGAATGGCATCATATTAAAGGTATATTTGAAGTAATGTTAAGTAACTTCCATTTTAATTTAAAGCATCCCACCTTTTTAAAGCCACAGAAGGCAAATAGATCCCCCTGCTGGGGAACACACAGGGAAAATATTACAGCACTCTTAATTAAAAAGGGAAAAATGTTTTTGAGCTGCAAAAAAATGTACAAATATTAAGAGATAGTAGGAACTGCAGATGCTGGAAAATCCGAGACAACAAGGTGCAGAGCTGGATGAACACAGACCAAGGGTCTCGGCCCGAAACATCAGCCCTCCTGCTCCTATGATGCTGCTTGGCCTGCTGTGTTCATCCAGCTTTGCACCTTGTTGTCTTGTACAAATATTAAACCTGGTTTTAATTGCAGAAACCTACCTCAAATTGGCAATATTAACCTGATCTGATGATGCAATGCAATTGAGTAAAAGTAAGTTTTGTGAAAATATATTTAACCATATTCCAGAATACTCACCATGCAATATGAAGAAAATGAAATATTAGTGATAGCATATGATAAATTAATGTATTAACGTTTAAGGATGAGTGTATACAGTTAGATCAACTATGATCTCATTGAACACAGGGTAGGTACTAAAGGGTGCTAAATGGTCTCCTGTTCTTATTGCCAACCAGAAAAAAATCCCTGAGGTAGATTTAGTTCAAAGTAAACAGCTAAATTTACACTGCGACAAACGCTTCTTGTGCTCATATGAAATTCCTTCAATTTTAGTGAAAACACAGTCAATGAGTAACTGATATATTAAAAAGGACAAGGAATTGTTTATTACAAACTTTCTAGGCACACCATGCTAGTCCACGTAATCATTTCATGGCCAAGCTAATTATATAGCAAAAATGGAACATATCTTCCAGCCCAAACTGTCACTAAAAGCTGCCT